TGATAGTAGAGAAGATCTTTTCCGTGTCGAGAGTGTTTTCTTTAGCTGTAATTTATTTGCTCGAAGCAACTTTTGATGTTGCTACATGATACATACACTTTCGCCCTAACTCTATGCTGTGTATGATTGAATTACATGTGCATGTGTGAAGCGATCAACCATTTCTTGTTCTTTAACTCTTGTAAGTTATAACAACATCATCTGCATTACAATAGTTATTCTAATCATACACTAATGACCAATAAAGACATATGCAAGAAGTTAAGAATTCCGAGAAGGAGGAAGAATCTTTTTATGCCGTTCCAATGAAAAATAGTTGAGCCTTCTAATTTCCCAGTTACATTTTTCACTGTATAAAGCTGATATAGCTCAGAAAAATTCGCAACTTATGTTAAAAGACATTCACTTGAAGAAACATGCTAGAATTTCTTTTTATTTAATTTCGGCTCTTGAAAGAATAGTTTTCGATCTATTTTAATGAAAAACAGAGTAATGATGAAGCAGCAATATTCACATTGAAAAAATAGAAGAATTACACTGTGGATTTGGTCACTTTGTTAAAAATATTTCTGAAGTGTATAACCTTACGAGGAAATTTCTTCAGATGCTTGCTTCTAGTTTCAATGATATTTTATCTATTGATACTAGATAGTGTTGTAATAAAAACGCTAAAAAGATTTAGACTCTTGTTGAGATTTGACTAAGCTATCGAATTGTTTTCTAAGAGGCCTCAGATTTTCAGAAAACTTGTATTTTGGAATTGTGATCTAAAAATTTGCGCATATAGAGAACTGATTTCGATTAACTTTCACAAAAAAGTTAGAAGTTTGAATTAAGTCTTTGTAATATGAGACTTTCAAGGTACATACCCTTTGTCATGGAGAGTGCATGCAACATGCATGTTTTAAAAGGTTCGTATTTCGACGATACTATATTCAAGACTTCTGAATTTTTTTATGAAAGTTAGTCTAGTTAAATTCTCTATATGCTAAAAGTGTCAAATCAAAATTTGATGGCTTAGTCAAATATCAAGAGGAACCATAGTCTATTTAGAGGTTTCCTTAGAACACTATGTAGTATCTATAAGCAATAAATCATTGAAACCGGAAAGAGATACCTAAGGAGTTTTCCTTATTAGCTACCAAAAGGAGAAGAAAGCTTTCGGCATAGTTCTTATTTACTTGTTACAAATGATTACCAGTACAAGTCGTTGTCAATGTATAATGTATGATCCAATATTTACTCATGCAAAATTGAATGTTACCTTAAGAACGTTTTCTAAGTGTGCTTCACTATGAAAAGGTTACTATTTTCTACCGGAGCCGATAACAAGATTTGAAGTTGTATAAGACTTCCAATGTACTGCATAACTCTATGAATCCGATGAAACGAGAAGCAAATGTTCAAACTTACTAAAGTCATATGATTCCGTCATCTATGACGATATGCGAAATGAATGTTCAAAAGTCTTGTTTATTTGTCGTTTGTCTTTTTTTCGTTATAATAAATAATGATATCGGACAAGACTGATCTTATTCAAAATGTACGACATGAAATCATTCTTAATTTCTCATAGAGAAAAAGGTAAAGTTTTCTAAATTTAATTAGTGATCTTGTTGAACAAATAGAAATCGAATTAAATATTCTAAAGTAATTGGATTCATCACTATTAGAAGTTTCATTGATTGTATTGGAATTAGTTTCTAAATTCTCAAAAGACGAAAAACGCTTTGCTTATTAATTTGGAAATCGATTGATATTCAATCTTCTAATGTTGAGAATGATATATGATTGCTAGTGTTATTTAATTTTGTATTATATGTATGTCGGCGTTTTGTTTTTGTTTACTGCGGTACTCGATGTAAAGCAAATATATTGGATGATGAACGGTGTGAATAAACGTAATGTTTGTGAGGAATTTTTAAGAAGATAAAATTTTAGATATGAACTTGATTTTTTTTAATATTAAAATACAAGATTTATATAATAATTCACGTTTGTTATTGATGTATGAATATTTTCTGTTACACTGATATGTAGTAGCTGCATGATCATCATTTTTTCATGTCTAGCATTTGCAAGACAATGCTATGGAAAACTCCCTATTAATTTAAGAAAAGCAAAAGCTATGTTCTTTGTCTAAATTATTTTAATAATAAAAGAGGCATTTATTATTTTAGTTTAATAATGTATGCTTTGAAAGTTTAGTTCAACATTTCGAAAGAAATTATTGTTTCAATATCAATGAATAATATTTCAAACGTTAAAGCATTAACCAGAAGTGGTCATGTATCTACTTAGATTGATTAATTTCATTGAATGAAAGAAATATGAAATAGATGAATGGTCTTTTTCAAAAGAAATTTTTACTTCTTCGTTTTTTTAGCAAGCAAAACAACATTATCAAATATTTCTCGACAAGTCTTTGAACCTAAGGAAATTGCTAATAGCATATGGGAAATATTTCGTCTGTTAGCTAAATAAATTGTTTGGTTCGAGCTTCGTCAGTGGGTATGAAATATAATAGGTGTGAAAGTGGCTGCAATCTATTCGCTTCGTATTCGTACTATCACGAACGTGACTGATTCCAAAGAAACAAAAACTCTCCATTAATAATTCTATAATTCTTGTTCATTGTTGTCATAACTGATGGAGCAGAGATCTCCTATTTCCCTAAATATGTACGAGAAATTGAAAGGCTTTTCTTAGAATTATCATTGGTTTTCTGTATGAAAAGTGTGGGGCTCAATCATGCAGCTTAGAAGCCATGCGCGCTATAGTCCAATGCTCGAAACAAAATATTAATATATCAATGAATTTTTTCTCCAGTTAATGACAGCGAAGATATTTTTTATTAAAGATTTAATGCTATTTACGTTTGAATTCTGTATCCATGACGTTCTATAAAACGTTAGTAAATAGTTCTTTTTCAGAAGAAAAAATTGAAGTGCACAATATTATCATTGTCGTATATAAATTTTATTAATCACAAGTGCGAGAGAAAATCTCATTTCAAAAGCACCAATAGTGAATAATAAATTGTGTTGTAGTTTTTCCCATTCAATTCTACATCGAAAGCTACTCTACGCATGTATCAGACAAATTTAATTAATGAAAAAGCGTTTCACCATACGACGAGCACGATACAATATATTAATGGTATGAAGCCAGGAACGATAGTGTTCTCTTGTCAACTATATGCTCACAATCGATATCATACCATTCGATAGCAAATTAAATTCTACATCTGGCACAAACAAATAAAACTATTGAACATACTTAAGTGAGAATAATTACCAATGAACATTGCGATTCGCTTTTTTTTGTGGGAAGTTCATTGCTGTTGCTTAGAAAATCGTTTTATACGCTGTGAGATGTTCAAAACTAAAGTCTGTAAAATTAGTTTTATTGTTAAAATAATTTTTAAGCTGTATTATGTGATGCAACTAAGGAAATGGTTTAGAATAATTTGTATTCAGATGACCAGTCTAAGCTGTTTTTTCTATTAGTTAGCTATATTTGACATTTGAATACTGTTCATCATTGTACCTTCACATCGATCAACATTAGTTGGTCTTTGCAATACTGCTTAGTCAGATTGGTCTAAACGAATTTCATTCGTTGATTATTGAAAATACATTTCATGTAATTACGCCAAAACTTAATCATTATCAGAATTAAACTAATTTTGATACTATTGTAAAATTAGCTTTTTCTTGTGCTTTTTTCTCTTGCTTTCAGTACCAATTTTTAAAGCACTTTAATGAGCATAATATCAATCATCATTTTCACTACATTGTGATCTATCAAATGTTCCATAACTCGTACATCGACTATTATTAAAATCATTGTCAATTCCACAAAATCTTCCATCAAAATTACTTGATGTAGGTGATAGTTTCCATGGTGATGGACACTGAACACGAGATTGTTATACATATCGACTTGTTCGAATATACGTAACGTAAATACGAGAAGTAGCAATTTTAGACAATAATTCATTATCGTATTCTCGTCGTCTAATATGATCACCTAATCTAGCATATTGTACTAAATTTAGCAGCCACATTAACATTACCTGGATTTGCATCCGGATGATATTTTTTTTGATAATCTATAAAAGCTTGTGCAAATTTCTTTAGCTAAAGCATTTGAATGAACATTGTAGGCATCGTAATAATTTAAAGATTATTGTTTTTATCAGCATAGAATCAACGATGAAATAAGCAATAACAAGAAGACGACATACTGGTATGCAAAGTCGAACCAGCATATTAAAGATTGTCGGATTCAAAATAGAAACAAGATACCTTTTTCCGGCTCTTTGTGTTCAATGACACGCAAGCATTATATATTTCTCAGATAATTTGAGTTCGTCGAGTACTAAATTTTCTGACCGAAACCTAATCGGATACATATTGAGTGGAATGATTTAAATAGAGAAACATATGATAGTGTAAGTAAGCAGTAAGAAATACATGCTCATATCCAAAAAGACAAGACGTTGATGAGCAACATTATCTTACTAACCATTTATTCTAAAAGGAAGTCTTTTTGGTGGCAAAATTTTGTGTTTTATCTTCTATCTTATCAATTCAAAAAGAAAAAAAAAGGAAAACAAAAAAAATCACATTAGTATGAGAAAGAACAAAAGACAGAAATAGTCAATTTCAAGCATAGAACAAAAAACGACAAATGCAATTATTTACATAGTGGTGCAACGTAATTATACACACGAAACAAAAAACAACAACAAAAGTCGTACAAATAAGATCTTTTGTATACAAATGAACATGTATAAGACTGTTCAAATTTTGAATTCTTCATATCAATAAAATAGTCTAGTCTTGATATTAATATTTCATTGAATAGAAATAATAAACGGAAACAACAAACAAATGAATCTATTTTAACGTTGAGCATATAGCAGTACACATAATATAAAGGAACAAATATCTGACAAGCAAAAAAACGACAACAGAAATAAGACTGATTATCAATTAATTTCTGTTCACTTGTACTAATCCATGATCATAGGCATATAGTACGGCTCCGCATGCAAATTGATATTGACTCTAAATAGTAAAACTAATAATAAAAAAATTAATTAATTCATCAGTATTCATACAGCAGTTTGAATCATTCCTAAACGTTGCTCACGCATTTGTCGAACAATGTCAAGTGGAAATATAGGTTGATTCGTTTCAATAAGACATAGAGCAGTTTCCATTAATATAATAACACCAGTTCGACCAATACCAGCACTGGAAAATATGCCAAACATAAATATTATTTCAAAATGTTTTATAAACAAAAGTCATTCAGTTCTTTTTAAAATATAAATGGCAACATTCAAATTGACATTACGTTCAATGGTGGATTGGGCAAGAGGTTTTTTTTAAATCTCTAGATAGATGTTCGATTGGAATCTTTTTATTGACGAATTGCGTTGAAACAATAGCATTTCAGGTATTACAATCATCAATAAAGAATCTTCAGTATTTATATCTCAGTGTAGGAGACCCAAAAATCAGTGAAATCCTCACAATGAGCTAGTATCATTGACAGCTTCATTTATGCAAAGTTTTAATCCGAAACTCGAAATTCGATTTTCATGGTGACCGGAAGGCAACTACAGCTTTCTGTCAATAAACACAGTAAATATTCAATATGTGAAGACCATAGGCTCAGATAACCGCATCCTCTAATGTTTTTACGCTACTTGCTATAGCTTCTCATTAAATAGAATCTCGATCCAACAATGATTAAATACTTGTGAACCTTCTCTCGCTAATTTCTTCATCGATGATTGTAGTAACCGAAATGCTTTTGTTTCAAAACAATGCGTCGACAAGAATTCAAATCGAACATCTATCTAGAGACTAATGAAGGTTTTAACGGAAACTTTCTCTCAATTCAACATTGGATGTAATCTCAATTTGAACATTGGCACGTACATCAACAGTGGACATAAACTTATTAAATGTTTCCCTTGAGGAGAAAAGATCATTCATAGCACTATCTATCTACAAAGGAAAAAAAAGTTCATCTAATTATCTCTCTAAGCATTCTGCGCGACAGAAAAGAGAACATTTCCTGAAACTATTTTATGTAATCTTTATCGGGCGGGATACTTTTTCCGAAGCAAAATAACGCAACATGGAATTAGCTAAAGTGAATTAATTTTCATTTCCAATCAGCGCTATTGATCTTTCAAAGACTAGTAGGCCATATATATATGTCGCTTGCACCATAGATGGAATCGGTTCCATCTCTAGCTCATACCAAATCAAAGAGCAATATCAATTAGGTCAATGATAAGTAGTGCGCATCAATAGATCTGAATTGTTTCGGAAAAGGAAACATCTATATGTGTCTTCCGTTTCGAAACAGTTAATAAATATATATTTAATAATGTAAAGATAGTTCCGATAAAACAACCAATATATAAATTCTTTCGCTAAATCAGCGAAAGTTTATTCATAGTATAGTTAGTCTAATTTTATATACCTGCAATGAACAAGAATAGGTAGATGTTTTTTTGATTTTCTTAATTCTCGAATTTCTAAAACAAATTCAACAAAAGATGCAAAATCATTTGGTACACCATGATCAGGCCATGTTTCAGTTTGTATTTGATAAATAATTCTTTCTTCATTAGTTTCTTTATGTGTAAAGAAAAATTCTCGATATATAAGTTGATTTTCTTTCCGTTCACGTCGACAACGTACACTAAATAAACCATAATCATTTGTTTCTAATACATTTGGCCAATATTGATGACATTTTATTCGACCACTAGAACAAAAAAACGTTAATAAATTAAACATGAAAAGAAAACAAGAATATCTTATTCTTACTTTTCAAATAAAGTCGTAAGCATAATTAATAATGTACATTGTTGTTCCCAGATCATTGTCCAAAAAGCTTCACACGTCGTTGGCAATGGTCCTTGTGTAGCTATATAACGATTAACCATATCCGTTGACGTAATAGGCATCTAAGAAAATAACAAAATTTTGTTACATAATTTGAAAAAATTTGTCCGTTTTCTTTTTACATTAATAAAATTAGCATTAATATAATCACTATCTGAACTAGATTTAAGTATAACACGTGTTTGATCATAAGGTAAAACATCTTTATAACGATTACGATAATAATTATTTTGACTAGTACCAATTTCAAATGTAAAACCTTCTTTACGTCGTGGAAGTGCCTAAGTAAACAACGAAACAAAAAAGATTTTTAATTTTATTAAAATATTTAACTTACTTCATACTGTTCAATAAGATGACCAGTTGTAAGATCATCACGTAATGTTTCTAATGATTGTTCTAATGGATCTTTTTCATTTAAATTTAAAAAATCATTATCATAAGTATGTTCCAAATCATTATTATTATTTGATGATAAATGACATTTATTTAAAGGTCGTATCAAAAGTTCTAATTCACCAGATGGTCTTTCACGTGATTGTCGAATCATATTAACAACCTAAATATATTAATAAAATGCTTGTTATCTTTCATATTATTATAATTTACTTCTTCGTGTGAATGATTTAATATATCAATATTATTAATTGATAATATTTGATCACCTTCATGAAGTGATGCTCGATTAGCTGGTGTATTTAAAGCTATTCTTGAGATAACAATTGGTGAATGTTCATCACCGCCACCCTAAATAGAAAAAAATAAAAGTTCTTATTTCTTATTTTAAAAAATCATTAAATAAATTACTTTAACATTAAAACCATATCGACCATCACCATCTGGTTGAAGTTTTATAGTAATTGTATCGGAATTTTCTTTTGTTAGAATATCATCAATATATGATGTTCCGTTAGATATTTCAAGACTACAAGAAAGAAAAACGACCAATAACTTAATTGGATTATAAGAGATTATCAAAGTTGTCACAAAGTGACAAAACGATTTCAGAGAGTGACGAGTAAAATTTTTGTATACAAATACATTATCGAACAAAAGAAAAAGAAACTACTTGTTTTCATTGTCCTAAGGCTAAATGAAACCTATGCAATTTTGTACCTATTTTGATAATTATTTTTTCTTGGTAAAGTAGCATTTTTTGGTTTATACTCATTAGCTTCGATCAATGCATTATTATTTATTGAAGAATTTTGTTGTTGAGAATTTTTCGATGTATTAAATGGTTGTCGAGGAGGTTTCGGTGGTGGTGGTGAACGAGTATTTAATATTTTATCAGACTTTGATATTGATACTGACGATGACGAAAGAAATAAGACTGTCTTTAAATTTGAATTTCTAGTTAATGATAAACTATTATTTGCTGTTGATGCTGGTAATGTTGATGAGCCATTTATTGAACGAAAACTTCTACGACTTGAGACTCTAAAAATAGAAAAAAAAACTATTTTATGTTTATTTAAAAACAAAATATTTACCTTTCAAATGTCTTTGGTTTTTTACCATTTGCTTCAATTAACAAACCATTTTGTACAACATCATTACTAAAACAGAAGAAAAAAAAAGAACTCATAATGCTATTTTATTGTTAAAATAATCACTATCTACCTATGTCGAAATTTATTAGTAAATTGAAAAAATTTTCTCGGTGATGGTGGAATCGATGTTAAACGAAAAAAAGTATGATGATCAACACATGATTTCCATAAATATTTACAACAACGATAACTACGTAATGTAAATACAATTGAATTATCATCTGGTGAGTTCTAAATTCAATTAAAAAAACAAAATCAATCTTCATATTCCTTAATTTAATGATAACAACGAAAAGGACATGCAATAACATGCTTAGTATAGAAAAGCACTTTTTTCTTTACCATGATATATAAACGTGATGGTATTTCATCTTCAGTCTGCAATTGATATTTCCTAACTTATTGAATTTATATATATATAAGAAAACGTTCATACTTACAAGACTTTTAACAAGTTGAATATAAAATGTTCGACGTTTAAAAGATATTTTTGTTACTCGATCCCTAATAATTAACAAACATTATCTTGTGATAACTTAAATTTTGTTTTTTTATTACCAAGAAAATGTATTTAGTTTAGTTGAATTTTGAAAAACAGATATACCAATAGCACAAACACCAACATATAATTCAACAATTGAATTATTTACATTATCATTTGTAGTTGATACCTAATTAAATCAATTGATCAACTAAATAAATGTTTTATCATTAAATATCTACTTACTTTAACAGATGCTTTGTGTAATTCTACACCATACATATCTAACGAACTAACGACACGAAGATAGTTGACTTCTGCATCAGCTGGAGATTGACCTCTACTTTACAAATAAATATATATATAAACTAAGATTTGTTTAAATTCGTTTTGATTTTAATTGTCTTACTATACAAAATAGAGTCTTACTTTATTCAAAGCTCTAATGTATCATCAAGAAAAAAAGAAGCAATGAAAGATTATGAGACTTATTAGACTTTCTTTTTTTTCTTAAAATAACAAGCACTTCGAGGGTTAGATGTCATTTAATGTTTAATAAAAACAATAGAAGAATAATTTACAATATGATAATCTTGAGAAATCTAACACATGGAAGATAATTTTAAGAAGTTTATTACCGATAGATAAATTCAATTTGATTTGTAATGTATTCAACAAAGTTTTCGAATTACAATTATTTACAATAAATAAAAAATACAACGTATATTTTTATTTTGTTAATATTGCTATTTTCTTCTAGTTAGTCTATACAGTGTATCCTATCTATAGACATCATAAGCTCTACTTGATTATGACATTTATAGAATAATATAGTAATCTGTCTTATATCAAACGACCGACACCGATAAAAAAGTTTCTTGTTCTCTGAAGTCAATCAATATCGAATACTAATGAGTCAGTGATGACACCTCATGATACTATTGTATAGTTGTAGACCTTACAGAACAAGACACTTGACTACAAAATAATATTGAAGTTTTCTTTCTTTCTCTATCAAAATCAATATTGTGTCTTATATTATTACGTAATATGATTTATTTAATCAGAGCTTATGCATAGAATTCTATATGAACTAAAAGAATATTATTTTACTTATTATTTTATTTCAATAAAATTTTTTAAAAATATATCATCTCACCTATGTTCTTTATGATATTGTTCAACTTCATTATCAAAATCAGAATTTTGAAATGGTACAAAACGAAAATCTTCTAAATAACCTTGTCGATGTTCATCTGGATCATAATCACCAAGCTCACCTATATTATCAATATATTGTTTGTTTTTTTTGTTTTAATACTAACTTAATTCTATTTCTTTTTTTAATATTTACTTTGTACAATATAACTTGCAAGTATAGCTGCTGTTGATCTTGGACACCACATTTTACCACTTAATAATTCTTTTTTTATTTGTAATACATATAAATATTTTGTAAATTCATCATCAATTTGTGTCGATGGATCTGTAAGAAAGAATCGTACTTTAAAATAAAGATGATATGGTGACATTGTTGTTGTTAATTGTTTTTTAAGAGTTTTTGTTGAATCTAACCATCGATATGCAAAATCTTGTGTTAAATCTTCAACAAGTAAACCAAAATATTTTCTTTCAGTTGATAAATCCAAATAATCAAATACTTCATTAAGTAAATCAATTCCTTTCGAACGACGCTAAAAACAAAACAAAAGAAAAACATTAGCAAAAAAAAAGAGACCATTTGTTTTAATTTACATCAATATGAAATGTTCGTTCAGTATCATCAAGAAAATGTACTATACAAGGATAATGACGAAGATTTCGATCACGCGCTATTTCAAATGCACGCACATTATATGAACGACATGATGATGATGTTGATGAAACATGTGATGATAAAATTGGTGTCGATGTTTTACTACTTGATGAACGTCTTAGTGAAATCATACGTTGAAGTAAACGTGTTTTACTCGATGATGATAATGATGCATCATCTTGTAATTGAATCGATGAACCATTATTTGTTGATATTGTTGTAGATTTTTGTCGTACAATATCAGATAGATGTGATGATGATGATGGTTTTGTCAATGGTACGACTGCTGTTGATGAATCATCTGTTGATTGTGATAGAGATTGTGATGATGATAATGATGCAGTTGTTATTGCTGTTGCTCCTGCTGTTGCGGTTGCTGCTGACGAGAGAACAAATTTTTTATTGTTCGGTCTCGTTGCATTTTGTTGCTGTTGTTGAACGAATGGAGCCGCCAGTTTTTTTTAATTTCTTTTTAATAATAATAATAATAATTTTTATAGAAAATTTAATTCATTTTTATGTCTTTTTTCCTAGTAATACAAAAATCTTGAACAAGAAAAAGAAAAATTTATATTTTAGATAGAATTAATTTAATTACTACAATCAATTTGATCGATGACGATTAATAATGTGATCAGAAGAGAGAAAAATACGAGAGAACGACAACGTTCGATGCGGTCAAGCAAATGTTTTGCTCAACTATTCGAATCAATATTTAGAAAAGAGATGATCAGAATGGACGAGACAGAAACATTCAAAGCTCATCGACCTTTTCTTATATTCTAGTTAGAAGCATGATTAAAAATGAATGAGAACAAAATGAGAACAGTGAACATGAAAAAGGAAGCAAAAAAACTCCGCATGTTGCCGGCTCATTATCAAGCTTTCGACAGATCTTTTTGCAATAGCTAATCTTTCCACATTTCTTGCTCAAAGAAAAAAAAGATCGGCCAATTATATGACATCCAACTGCCTGAAACTACTTAGAATGTCGTCATCATTTTTATTATCTTTTTCGTAGTTAGAAAAGAAAAAGAAATCAATAAATGTCCTTTGAGTATATATAATCCATTGAATATAAATATAACTTACAATAAACGGAAAATATGACTGAACACTAGTTTATCTAATATCTGTTAATACATTCATATAATCGACGATTAACATCGTTCTATAACTATTGAGTTATAAAACTTGCATAATCATTTGGACAGAGAAACAAATCGAAGAATAAATGGAAAGAATAGAACTACGATTAAGAAGCAACCACAATCATATCGGCATCTTTCTCTACATTCTCGTTCTCGTTTTTTTTCTCTTACTCGTTCTTCTATGCTCGTGCAAGCGTGTATCTGTGCGTGTGTGTGGAACAAAACAATATATATGAATAGAGCCTATGCTCCTTCATTCGTTCGTTTATTCGCTCTCTCCCTCTTTCTCTCTTGCCCTCATCTCTCTCCTTCTCTTTCTTCAATGTCAATGCTCACCAACTGTACATACCCTATTTTGCCTTGGTGCGAGGGTCATAGAACACACACTTATACGTACACACGACAATGACGGTCATCACTCTACAGTCATCATGTTTTTTTTCTTCTTTCTATCAGTCTTCTTTTTTTTTTTTTTTTGGTGTCAAGTCTCATCGAATAATCTGACCGATGCATACATTTGAAAAAAAAGAAAAGGCGACATTGGAAGAATTTTATCAAAAAAAAATATGTCGACAAGAGCAAAAAAGCACGTACACAAAATATGTCAACAAATAATAACATAAATAGATGTATCTGACTTGAAGAAAAGTTTATTTTTCTTTTCTGTTAGAAAAGTCGCCCACGACAATTTTTTGAACCACAAAAACATTTCACTTCACGATCAGGTAATAATTCACAATTATAATGCCAAGTGAGTTCTATGAAAGAAAGAAAAAAGAAAAGTATTAATTCTAAATGATATTGGACATTTTATTTAATGAGATAAATAATAAAGGAATTTATTTTGGATACTATTTCATATGATTGATAATCAATATTTTATATTGAGAATATTTCAAGAAATAAATTGACCCATTTCTTAAGAATATGGAAGATGGTGGGTGGTAAGAAAACTCGTACCTCTCGAATCTTTCAAAGCGAAAATGCTCGTATAAAACTCTAAGAATAAACATCGAATCAATTTGTTGAACGAACACAAGACTCAAGATATATATACAAGTAGCTGTTAAGTCATTGAAAGCAAAGTTTGAAAGCAAGAAGTCAAATAATTCAAGACAAAATGGAAACTACGGAGTCCTAATTGTATGATTAACGAAATAACAACAATAGTATTTAAAAGAAAATCCTCTACAATTGCTCGTAATCCTTCGTGAGTCAAAAGTTCCACCTATTTCACATGAGTACTATTTTATATTTATTGAGACAATGAATCAAATTCGCAATTGACTACATCTTCGAAATCAAGAGTGTCCCTTGAGGTTCTCTTTGATTGTAATGTATAACACAAATAAATATACCTTCTCCTGCTTTAACACGAGTACTTGTAAATAATGCTAAACTTGGAAAATGTAAATCATGTGATTCAATAAATACATTTTGGATGTACATATTTGGATTACATGAATGATTAAAATATTTTCCTAAATTACTGTATAAACTTCCATCAATAACATATGGTTCATCATCATCGTCATCATCATCAATATCATCATCATCATTATTAACTTCATAATAAATTTGTCTAACTAAATCAAGACTTGTTTGATATTTATCATCCATTGTTTGAACACGTTCATGTCCTTGATCTGATGTTATTAATTCCCCAACATATTGACAAATAAATGTTCCACGTGGTAAATCATGTAATGTACGTAAACCCCAACCTTTATTTTTGTCTTTAAATAATTGTAACTGTACAAATAAACCTTGTTGTACAAGACGGTTTGTACAATGTTTACGATGACATGAACATTTTGAATTGCATTCATATATACCACTTGATACTGGATTAAGTAAACGCTTTCTTTGATAACCTATACTTTTAATTATATTTGAAAGTGTATTACGATTTTTTTGTTTTTCAATAACTAATGGATCATGATTGAGGAGAGCCTGATCCAATGTTTTACGAAAACAGGCACATTTCATTCGATCACTACAACTTAAAAAGGATAAAAATAAAAGAAAATTTTCAGATGTTGCAATGATTAAAAGAATATAAGGTGCTGAAAATTCGAAATTTGTTCAAAAAAGTTTTTTTTTGCTATATTACAATAGAACCCGCCGAGTTAGCCTATACAAACCTTGTTTTTAACATATTATTTAGACGATTGTTTTGCTGGAAAAATTGGATTTAAAAACAATATAGAAAACAAAATACTCCAAAAGCATCAATCTTCGATATTTATTCAAGTGTTTTTTTTGTTTCATTTTACTCATCGTATATAGGGATCGCAAAAAAGTTCCACTATCAAGTAAAAAGTAGCTAAACTTTATTACTTCAGTCTTATAGTTTGATCACAAAATAGAGTACGCTGATCGACCTTCATTCGGATGAGCTGGAAGGTTAAGAGATCGTTTCTTCAGACGACGATATCTCAACATAGAAAACAAATCTCATGGTGTTAAGACAGCTCAATGCTGTCTCTATCATCAATAAAAATTCCGTGTCAAACGATTTTTGGTTTGTCTGATTTATGAATTATTCTTTACATAATCTTCACATGAGCGTTGATTATAATCATCGAAAAGTGACTGATATCTCCGAGTAATTTTAACTATTTGTCTTGAAATTTTCTCTCAAAATTTTACGATCGTAGCCATTGGTGAACAAGAAATCTACAGTGAGATCATCCCAGACAATTCAGGATTATTCGCGTCTCAAAATTATAAACATAATTCTTTGATTGTTGAGAGCTTCGAGTTTTTCAATATGATAGCACAACGCCATAAATACGGGTTTATATTCTACAAATACTCTATTCAAAACAAATTTCGGTCCTGAAAATATCTCACTAGAGCTCGTCGGGTTCGGGTCGGAAGATTTGCATTCGACAGGCCCTAATTATCTGAGAAATGTATAGAATCCTTTTGTTACCGAATACAAAAAAAAAACAGACAAGAGTATCTCGTATCTTCAGGACGATAATTCAATTCCAATTAGAAACTTTCATTTAGCATATCAAAGTGCAATTTGATCGGGTTGAAAAAGTCTGAACCCTAAAAGCTCTATTCCTCACTGTTGTTTTCGAATACTTTGACCTGTGCTTCTCCTAAGGTCGAAAAACAGATGAAAAATTCCTATAAATGTTGAGACCAACGAAACTTAATGCTTTTGCCATTTTTAAATTCTTATAGACTTTTCTGATTTTATTATCTTAATTTTTCTAAGTTTCACTACGAAACCCACATCTTTATAGATAACTCGACGAGCTCTATCCCATCATGTCAAATAAAATGTTTGTTCAAATTTTAAATTGTCGGCAGCTTACTTATCAACACAATCACAGCATGATGTCATATTTGTATCATTATATGCAGCATAAATTCGATTATCAAATGGACGAATTTGAGTAATATAAGTAAAATTATCAGGTTTCTCATTATCTATATCATTATATACAGATATTTCAATAAGTTCTTGACCATTCGAAAGATCATCCATAACAATAAATTTTTGATCAAATTTTTCTATAGCCGGTGTAAAACGTGTTACAAGATCATCAACAAAAAATTTTATAGATAATTTTGATTCTGTTCGATGAAGATATTTTTCAATTTCATCAAGTATATAAAATACACGACGACATGGTGAACGATAACCACGTGGTTTACCATCTACAACTGACCATTGATATTCAAATGGTAGCAAAAATGGATTTGTATGAATTTTATTAACATGAAAATTTTCTTCAACTAATGAGACACATTGTCGACTACATTTATGTCCAATAAATGGTAAACTATTGAGTATACGAAATTTTGGTAAAAGTATATCAGTATAATATGCTGTAAGCATATTAGCACGTGATGCTGATGGAACTTCATCACTAGATGAAGAAGATTGTCGTTGTGAAATTTGTACTTGTTTAGTATTTGATCGATCACGAAGTTTTTTTTTACCTAAAATTAAACAAATATTGTCTTTTGTTTTGGTGAATTGATGTGGCGTGCCGTAAATGCAACATTCAAGCCGAATTTTTTCATATATGTGATTAGACAATGGGACGAGTTGATAAACAATATGTTTCTTTTGTTTTTTGGAATGAACTCTTCAAGGAAAAATTCCAGTTAAGATGATCTACTTCAGTCAAATTTCGATAACCGACAAATTGAAAATCTCTTTTTTGTTTCAGATTCAATGTAAGAAATTGAATCCAGGAGAGTAATTTATAAGTGACTTTTCTAGATTCAATTTTTCACGCTGAACTTGAAACAAAAACAGATTGACAATTTGTCAGTTACCAAAAATTCACCAAAGTAGATCATCGGAAACAACTGAAATTTTTCCTCTTAAAACTCATACTAAAAAAATGAAAACACATATATTCTTGATCAGCTCATCATGCTGTATCTAGCTATACATGAAAAAAGATTCTGCTTTAATTTTGCATTTCTCGCATCCTAATAATCCGAAGATTTGCATGGGGATAATTGATTCATAATAAACACTTGTTTCTAAGTCGAAAGACGAATACAAAAAACAACCCGTGTTTATTTATCTAGTAAAATACGTTATCACAATCAAAATACATTGTAAGCAAACCGATTTGTAATCGAGTTATTCTTCTACAACGCTTCCTATGATTGTCAGAATGCATTTTACTCTTAATTAATCACGTCCTTAGTCGTTTCTTTTCTTTTTCTGAGTGTATTTTTCATTGCACGACACAATCAATTATTCTACGACATCATCTATTGTTTCACAAATAATATTCAATCATTTATTATTATTATGTTTTTTTAATAGAAAATACCTTCATTTATATTATTGACATTTGTTTTCCGTTTACGTAAACTTGATAAATCAAAATCTGTAATAATCATATCATTTGTTGAATCAGGTGATTTAAACGACGATGATAATGATGATGATGATGATGAAATTTTTAATTTTGTTGATAATGATAATTCTTGCGATGAATCAATCATTGATGAATTTGAATGAATCCATATTTGTGTTTGAGATTTTCGTTCATAAAAACATATTTTTATAAGTGAACAATCTTTGTCAATAATACGTGCATTATGATATTGTGTACCAAATTTTCTTACGCGTATTATTGTACCTAGAGAATAATTTGATTGTTGAAATCCATTTGAATATTTAAATGCATGTTTGTAATATGAATGTAATTCATTATAATCAATATTTGATAAATGTTTTTGAAAGTCTTGACAAAGACAAAGATGAAAATCTGTTTGTAAATGATAGTTAGCTGTATAATTATCATATAGAATAAGATATCGATCGAGATTTTTTATTGAACAAGGTTTTTCAAGTATAAAACCAAGTAAAGATAATGAACGATGATAAACACGAGTTTGTGTTGGTATAGACAATGATGAATTTGATATACTGATATATAACTGTCGTTTAATTATACATTCCATTGATGATAATGGAGAATGATTAACCTATAAATACAAAAAAGAGCACATTGTCATTTTTAAAAAAGAATTTATATTATTATATTTACTATAATAATATGAGTTTCTGAAAGTTTTGAATACGCTAATGCTGCTGTACATATTTGTATAGATGAATTTGATTTGACACGAATTAATTCAGTATCGATGTCAAGTTTTGAAATTAAATTTTTCAAAATTTTATTATCTTCATTTTCATGTGTATTTATATTTGATATTTCGCTGATTTCAATATCATTATTATCGTCATCATCATCAAGAATAATTACAACATCTTGACTTGTTTTTTGTTTGTCCTAACAGATGCCGATTTGTAACGATGTGTTCTTTTGTTTTTGACAGACTTACGGACGGTATCGATGACGCAGTCGAACGAGCATTATTGAATGTTGATGAGCATTTCTTGTCATTATTGAAATCTAGGAAATGAAAAAAAAAAGAAAATAAATGCCATAAAGCTTTCAATGAAATTATTTTTTAATCACTGAAGAAATGTTCGAAAGTATATTATTAGATTAATTCAATAGTGTATCACAAAGTTTTTATAATTCATCATTCTTGCATACAATAGGAGTATTATTTTTGGAATTAGAGGTATTACGAAACGATAAATCTTAACCGAGGAAAAACAACAGCTTGCTAAGTATGAATTATTTTGATTCATCATGAATTTTCATTCCAATAATATTTCATCTGTCAATAACTAATATATTCGAAGTAGAGTCATGAATTTCGTTTGTCTCATTTTTAATTTTTTTGGAACACGAGACTGTTCCGCAAGACTTTAATCGGAATACAAAAGTCCTTGTTTTTTTTTAATTTTCTTTTTCATTGTTCAAATGAATGTTGTATAGTTCTCAAGAAAAATTGTGAACAGTTTATTGTATAAAATATTACGACACATCTTAAAGAATATTGATAAAATAAAGCGTTATAATACAGTTATCCAATAGTTACTCTTTTTGTATGCAAGAATGATAGGTTTTGAATTACCTTTGAAATATGAATTATCGAATTTAAATTATTATTTGCAATGTTATGATTTATATAGGCTATCAGATAGAACTGTAAGTTATCATGCAATTAAATCGTGCAGTAAGTTTTGCTATACAATCACGTAGAAAAATCATCAAATGATTTGCAAAAAGATATTAAAGTGTTTTGATTACAAACATGCAAAATCAAGTAATTATGGTGATTTCCCGTTTTTAGACAAAAACAAATCAAATCAATTAGCATTTTATTCTGTTTCCCATATTTATATTAATAACATTGCCACAAGGTGTTTTTACTTGTAAGTGACATCTCCAATTATGTAAGATGTTTGTAGTGGAAAAAATTAGATGATAAATCGGAAATAAAGAAAATATCTTTTTAATTATTTTTATAAAAAAAAAAAAAAAAAGAAGCAAATGCAGTTTTCGTTTTTATTCGCATTTAGTTATAATTAATTTGTTGTTTTACCTTATAATAATTACTAAAAATTTAATACTTTTAATAACTATAAACTTTTTCTTTCATTTTAATAATAAAAACAAAGTCCAACCTTTGACAGTTTTAATTAATCGATTGATTGGATCATTGTTTTCTTTATTTTGCTAAAATATAAATCTTATCGAAAATTTAACCCATAAAAACGAAAAAAAGAACCATATACTTGTTCAACATATGTATTCATATTCTAAAATAATATTAAACAAAAAGTTAATATATATATTTGACATTATGTGAAATCTGTAGTTTTTTTTCACAAAAAAATAAAATAAAAAAGAATAGTTTTAATTTATCTTCAATGTTGTTTTCTTTTTCCTTCATTTTAATAACAATAACAAAAACAAAATGTTTTTATGAAACAAATATGCATAGCTAACAAACAAACAAAAAGAGAAAGAAAATGTTTATAAAATACAAAAGAAAAAGTTTAGATAGTCTTAGGAAAAAAAAATAACATAGCACTATTCATAATCAGGACAAATAAAATATCCGAGGATTGTTCTTACTAAACAAAGATATATTTTCGTTTTTAATTATCTGAACAAAATCAAAAGAAATTTCAATCACAATAAACGACCACGACAATTCGATGCTTGACATTGACAATCAATACGAACATTGGGCATACAACCTACTGTATAATTGTAATCCCAGCAAATTTCTATAAATATAAAAAGTGAATTAAATACAAAACAAAACGATTTAGAAATTCACCTTCACCAGCTCGAATATTTCGACATGCAAAAAGTGCAATAACTGGAAATTGTGGATCATGAGTATTAATAAATACCTTTTAGAATACAAAGAAAAATCATAATATTTATGTAAATTTTAATGATTAATTACATTTTGAATATGCACATTTGGTTTACATGAATGATTATAAAATCGACTTATGGAACCATAATGTTTAGCATCGAGAATAAAACATGAATCATCATCGTCTTCATCATTGTCATCGTCTTCATTATCAGTTTGACTATCGTTTAATAATTGAACACAATGTTTTACCGGAATTCGACTTTTCCCTAGAAATTTACAAAAACAATAAGTTTAATTTAGCTGTGTTATTCTTTCTTTCTGATAATTAGACAACTTTAAGAATTAGATTTTCTTTTTTGAACTTTAGAAAAGAATTTGTGCGTTTACATTTTTCATCGGTTTTTACTAGAATAAAAATATTTAAAAAAAAGTAATTACGGCTCCGATTCAAAAGTCGCTCTTAGCCTAGGAACATTTAACTAGCAAGGGTCAAAAATAGTTCATTTGCTCTTTGTGGATTATCATTCTATAGGCTTAATTTTTGTTTGACAGATCATTGTAAAGACCTTTTCTTTTAAATTTTTACTTTTGAAAGTGGAGAAAAGTTCAATGTCTCAACAAAATGGACTCGGTCATACCTTGTATCTTAACATGGCCTTTCAAACAAAAAACGAGATGCCAAACAAAAAAATTATGTCAGACGCGGGGCTATCTTCTCCTGCGGTTACCTCTCCATTTTCATGTTTTTCACAAAAATTGACTCTGTTTTATAGTGACTTAACTAATACACTATAGACATTTCTTAAGGGTTCCTTATCATTCTTAATTCGAGGAGAAATCGTATTTTTCTCAAACCAACTTTTCTATGAGAAACAAAAAATTGCAGAAACACTTTCTTTTCTCCGATCTAGCGTGTTTGATCGAATTGAAACTTTTTGAACATATACTATACACTGTTTGAGATAAGTATCTCTATCCTTCCAAAGAGTGTTTAGTGCCTGTAAAAAAGATTTTTTGATCGATCAAATATATCATCTCAGAAATGGAGGGGGATCATATTGATCCCAGTATCTCATAAAAGACAGCATCCTGAATGATAAATTTCGTTCAATTCGTCGTATTCTATCTGCTGTGAAAATTTCAAATTTTTCTCATGAACTATTCTGCAGAAGCCCTGGTATCTTTCTCTAATTTATGAACTAGTAACTTAGGTTTTTTTTTCTACGCAAGCAAAAAAAATGAAATAAAGGAAAAACTAGATTAACTACACCTTACTGAACCGTATAATTAAAGCATTGATATACCAAAATATGCTGATAATAGAATTCAACGTAACGTATGTCACTTAGTATTCAAATGATAACGGTCGTGGCAATAATCAAATTCGGTCATATAAAGTGACGAATATTAAAATAGTTAAGTGTTATGTGCCTTTTTTTTTGTCACTTCACACTCGGCTGCCAATGTATAATAGAAGCATTTTTGTCGGCAATGAATTATATTATATTGTCTTTTGGGACTATATAATTAAACTATTGATTAATCATCTCGTCAGATAAATTCTATTATTTAAGAAGAAAATTTCTGTTTTCTTTCTTTTCATTTCAGCCTATTTTCATCGTTTTTATACGTAGAGCACAAATTGACCTTCATCCACGATATGAGTCGTTAACGAAAAGAGGTCGTGACAAACAGAAAATAAACTTTCGTGACTCATACTCATGGTCACTATGATAATGAAACAAAGCATTTGATTAGACCAAGAAGTATATTAATCTTCTTGTTACAAATACATTGCAACGTAACAGTAAACAAATATGTAATTTCATCTTTAATTCATAAAAAAAAAGTCTTTCATATTAAATGATAAAAAAATTCTTTATCCTATGAATAGTGGCGTAACTAGGAGATCATGATTGGTAGGACAGTGCCCGGCTTTGATTACGTTACTACCTATGAAGTAAATTTCACGAGAAAAACAAACGTTTTTTTCCTACCATTTAATATTCCGACATTATTAAGTTTATTTTTTATTGGTGATGCTTTTCGTTTTTTATTATCAGTTGTATTTAAATGACTTTTATGATCTAATATAGCTAAATATTTAAAATCACGTTTAGTTGCAATTTCTTCAGTTATTAATTCTCCAACATAAGCATTGATAAAACTTGAAAAGAAAACAAAATTTTCTTTTTATAAAACCTGTTTTGTTTTTGTGTTTACCTTCCATATGGTATATCATGAAGAACACGTAAAGCCCAACCTTTTGTATTCGTATGAAATAATTGTAATTGTTGATATAAACTATTTTGTACAAGACGATTTGTGCATTGTTTTGTATGGCATAAACATTTTGAATTACATTCATATATTCCACTCCAAACGGGAGTTTTTAAACGTTGATGAATATATGCAAAACGTGAAATCATTTGTTCATCAGAAAAATTTTGTCGTTGCCAATTTAAGATTTTTTCATTGTCATTTAATTTTGCTTGTTCAAATGTTTTGAGCCAACATGGACATTGTATTCGATTACGACAACTTTATAAAAAAAAATAAATTATTAAAATTTTTCAATTGAAACTAGTCCGTTGGATATGTTAACCATTCTTCATTTGAAAAACCGTCTATATTGTTTTGCAGAGAAGTTCGTGACGCATCGAATGGTATATAGAAAATTGCATTTTCATTAAGTTTTTATGTTCTGAGAAGTCATATATTGGCTAAGAGATACTATAACAATTGTGGGTGATATGACAGAATATTAGGATTCAGTATGTTTCCAAATTGATCTATATCAAATTTTGTTGAAAAGCTACTTCAATAGAGTTTTATCTCATCTTTAATCGTGACTAAAAATAGTTTTATTCGTACCCAAAACCTTCGCATTTCCCTGGATTTACTAGATTTTTTTGGCTTTTGTGATGTTTTGAATTTTTCGATAATACTTCTAATAACAAAGTCGACTGCTCGTGCAATTTTCTTAGAATGTACGCAATGTCATATCGGCTATTTTTAGTGAAAAAATTTCTATCTATTAATAATAAGTTCATAATGCTATCATTTGACATATATGAGTCTTTCGAACATGGAAAAAAAATTCTCTTTCAGATGCCTTGAGTGGGAGCGGGAATAGACTATTACAAAGATTAGTTTTGATTTTATTTTGTTCCTTACGAATTTAGATTCTGAGTAATCGAATGTGATTAGAGTATGGAGCTCTGTTAGATTCGATATGTGTTCGATATCTTCTGAAAACTAAAAATTTTGCAGATCTTCGTACCACCTCCAAGAATCTGAAAGCGAAAACAGTTTTTACCATTTTCGAAAGGTCCATAAATGTCAAACGATAGCGCATCATGAATTTAATATTAATTGATAGATTCTTTTTCACTCAACAAGTATTTATGGCAAAACTCGTATACTTTTCTTTTTCAGGAATTAATTGGCCGATTTAACTACGACGGACTTTCTGAGAAAGTTAAGCAAAAAAATGAGACAAGTCAGGAAAAATACTAGTTTTAGGTACGAAGAAAACTATTGTTAATCATGATTGAAAACGATATAGAACTCTATTGAAGTAACTTTAAACAAAATCTGAAATAGATTAGTTTGGAGACATATTGAGTCCTGTCATTGGGTAATATAACCCACAACTTTTATAATATTCCTTAACTGGTATATGACTTCTCAGAACATAGAAACTTAATGAAAATGCTATTTTCTATATACCATTCAATGGGCCACAAGTTGCTTTACAAAACAGTATAGGTGGCTTTTCAAATGAAGGGTGATCATCTTATTTGATAGGTCCCTTAAACTTACTTATCTGTACATGAACAACATGTCATTGTTGTTGTATCATTCGGAAATATTAACTTTGAACGAGTTTCTGTTCCATATATGAATGTTTCTGGAAGATTTGAATTATTTTCATTATAAACTGGTATTCTAACATATTCTTTTCCTTGTGTTATATCATCATTAAGAATATATTGTGATTCATATTTAATACATGGTTCAAGACGTGTTTGACGATCATCAACAAAAAATTTAATTGTTAATTTAGAATTTGTTTGTAATAAATATTGTTCAATTTCATCCAATGTTAACAATGAACGACCACATGGCGAGCGATATAAATAATTTGAACGAGATGATATTGTTTTACGTGTAGAAGGTTTTTTCTTAAATCCACCTTTTGCATGACGATCAACATGAAAATATTTCCAACCACATCTTATAATACAAATGATAATAAAATCGATAAAAATAGATTGTAAAAAAAAAACATTCTTACGAAAATGGCAATGTATATGGATTTTGTATGATACAATTTGGAATAAAACTTTTTTCAGCAATCAAAACACAATGAGGCGAACATTGATGCGGTTGATAGAAGTTCGAAGGCAATGGACGTATTGATATTGGTGACGATGAGCGAGAAACTTAAATATAGATTTATAATGAATGCTTGTTTTCATGTATTAGAATTAAGGATAGAAATTAATAGGTAAAGTTATTAAGTTTGAAATTTTTTGTTCATTTTTTACTGTATAATTATTCATACAGATAACTTCGATGGGATTGTTATGATAAATTGAGGCGTAGGTCTTACGAGCGAAGTGTCCTAATTGATTAATTGCTTTTCATTTGAGACGATACGCATTATGTATTAAGAAGAGTTCAGATCCTTAGCTTATTGCTACGAAGATACAGTATTTTTATTTGATTTTTCATGTTGAAAGAGTAAACTTTGAGTTTCAATAGATATAGGAAAAAGTTTCTTGGGATTAACTTTGAATGAAAATAAAAAGCTCTTGTAACTTCTGTCCTCTTCAAAAACCTATCTTTCGCACCAAGTCTATTTGCGTTTTCTTAATTATCCTAACTCCAAACGTCCACAAAAATACTGGTGTACATAAATGTTGAAAAGATAAAATTATAGATGATATTGAAAAGTTGTACATTGACAACTGAAGAAGAAACACGTTAAAGAAGAGCCGATAGCATGAACTGTTAAATGAACATGTGAAACTAGTTCAATACAACATAAAATCTATAATTCATAACTATAAACACCGATCACAAGAGAGGCGAGAAGAAGTAGCCAAAGTCTATGATACTGTCAAAAGTTATTTAAGGGTACCCACCTCTTTTGGACTACTTCTAGTTCTCCGCGATACTGCAACAGATCGGGTTGAAAACTTTATCACAACTAAATTATCGAAAATTACAGAACCTACGTTTGAGATAAAAATTTTAGAAGCAGATCTTCAGGAGTTTTTGAAAGGATCTTCAAAAACCCCTAAAGACTTGCTTTTAAAATAAAAATGGGTCCCATCATCTTCGATAATCTAGCTGTAATAAAAACTTGAGCCGGACTTGTTGTACTCTGGTGGTGAACCGGAACTAGTCGAAATGAGAAGGGAAAATCCGTAAGCTTCAATGAATTACTAATCATGTGCCAAAGATTGATGTGAGAAAAATAGAATCAGCAATTAGTGTATAATGAGTTCATCGAGAAAGCAGAGTTCTAAAGATGAGTACAACCGAAATAAGATCCGTTATAGATTTGAAGATTGTACTCGTATGATATGCTTCAATATTATGTCTTTACGATGAACAAACTGGAAACTCACCGAATGAACAATTTTGTACTCTTTTGAATGCACTTTTACATTTTTTCTCGTACTTCATTCCTTTTATTGGTATATTTTCTCTCTTCATTGTATGTTTTAATCTTCACCGTTTAACAAATTACATTTGGAATAATATAATTATAGAAATTAGAAGCTTTTTTATCACTCTTAAATCATGTTTTCACACGCTTTATGATAGAAGCGGTTGACAAGTTTTTCATTGATTTCAAAAAATAAGTTATCTAACTTAAGTAATAGTTTTTAGATAATGAACAAATTTCCCTCCTTTTTCTAAAACACATCTTCTTAAACAGCATGAAATTCTCTACAAAAATTCAAATTAGTTTTAACGTTTACTAACATGTTTAAGTTCTAAATAATGAAATTTCTCAATGTTCTACTGTCCTTGGCAAATTAGTTATTTCTATCTAAACAAAGAATTCTTGAGAAACTTTTTAAAGTAAGAAAATTGACAACAATTTTGTACATTGTTTCTAGGCTAAGATACAACTATAGTAAAACTGTCCTATACATCGCTTATGTGTAACGCCAGATTCGATGTTATTATTTGAGGATAAGAGCAAATCAAAAAACCTAAAATTTTCACAATAAACTATTCTTGTTAAAACCAATGTCTTTGCAAAGTTTTAAGACAAAAACCTAATTTTGTGGTGTACCTAAGAAAGACCACGGCATTGAATTAAAAACTGTCTTCGTCACAATAAGCTAAGGGTTCGAACTTTTCTCAGTTCATTATGCGCATTGTTCCAATTCAACAGCAATTAATCAGTTAGGAACCTTTCCTCGTTAGTATTATGCGGTTCTATTTGATGATTTCTTATATTTAAAGATCGAAGTCAATGAAACTTAATAAATCGAAAAAGATGCTAAACTATGATGACTATTGTTCCTTCAACAGTAATTCATACGTTAATCAAAAGAAAAAGTTTCGTTTTTTTTGTTGTATCTATTAATACTTAGGAGAAACCAAAAGTAATGACGCCCGATATTATAATACCACATAGAAAGCTTGAAGAGAATCTCTCTTAATAACCCACACCACACATTCTAAAATTTTGCTTCTATATTAAAATGCACATTGAACATTCTGTTTAATTCTCAGAAGCGTTGCAAGATAGTCTAAATAATTTCGTGAAGATCAAGACGAGATCAAAGACAAAATACGGTCTGACAAACCTGTGACTCTGACTATATCTGAAAACTTATTACTAATGACGATCTTTATACTACAATTGATAAATAGCAAGTGTAAACAGACCTCAGCGATAATTAAAAGAATAATAGGAGTACGGAAGATGTAAATACTATTGGTTAGGTTATCGGTACATATAAACAAAAATTTTCCCTGAACTATCCATACTGTATAACGGTATCAGCGACGTTACTTTTGGTACATTCTAAATAATAATAAAAGTTTCTCATTTATATTCTTATTTCTAAGTATTTTATTTAAATTTCCAATAAAAAAAGCGAATTGTATAGTTATTATTTTCATAAAACTATATTTTTTTGCTTTCCTATGCAGCTCTTGTTTCCATTTTTCATTCAAAGATGTATCATTTGCTACTAAAGGTACTTGACAACAATTTTAATCTATCTGCTACATGTCTACAAAATTTGATATTGTTTGTATATTTAGTGTTAGCTTTAAATACTAATATTACAAGATACACACTACCCATAATCAGTATTTTATATAGATTTTCTCTTCGAGAAGGATGAGTTCAATTTTGAGAGGAGCGTCGTTTCGTTGACTTCAAACTTGACAAAACACTGCTCATAAGAGTCGTTTATGGTAGTTTGCTTTTCAAAGATTTTGCAAGAGTTCTCTTCTCTGGATATAGGACAATACTTTTGATTTTTCTTGACTCGTTCATATATATATCTAATTTTTATTTAAGAAAAAGATATCTATATTATCGATTAGGCGAATGTTTAGTAGATTAATCGTATTAACTATTATTATAGCTTCAAATTACTTATTAAACAGATGCAAATTTTATTTGGCAAAATTGCACTGCATAATGATGTAGGCTTACCTGGCTAAATAAAAACTCTCGGCTGAGAGGGCAAAAAAGAGTTTCGGGATATATATAATCTTTTTTGAGACGCCAACTTAAAAAGCTATTCAAACTGCTATCTTTTTCAAACAAGAAAGAAACTTAGATATTTTTTGAATAATTGCTAATAGGAAAAAGATAAAAAGATCCAGTTTTCACTATTGCAAAACTAAAGTTCAGCTGTATCCATATAAACTGAAATTTGATTGGTTAGTATTAGATCAATCAAATGAATTCTCAGTGAACACTTTAAAATTGTACTCATTTTTCAGGTAATTTTGATCATTAATAGGATCAATAGATAGAAAGTTTTTTCTTTCGCTCTATGCAAGACCAACATTGGTAGCTTATTCCGTTCAAGAGTTATAAGCTTTTTATGGAGACCTTCAACTTCAACCAATCGATCTGGGATCAGCTGGAAAAGCATCTAGGTAGGGGATAATTCACCACGCTGAGTCGAATGGTGATGTATGTTTTTGTATTTGAAATTCTCTAACACTGTTATTTCAGTAATTTCAAAGTTTCAAGGCCAGCTGCTATGCAGCACGATCAATATACATGTCAAAAATACTGAGATAACAGTATCAGATCATTTTGAAAACAAATATTTCCATTCGACTCATTATGGTAAATTATTCTCTACTTAGATGCTTTTTCAGGTGATCCCAGATTGATTGGCTGAAATAGGAGATCTCAAGAAAACCATTATAACTCTTGAACGGAACATGCTACCAATGTTGGTCTTGTGTAGATCGAAAGAGAAAAAACTCTCCTATCTATTGCTCATATTAAAAACCAAGGTCAACTAAAAAATGGGTCGAAAATATTGTTTTTAAAAATGTCTACCTAGAATTAATCTGATTCTTCCAAAGTTGGCCAATTAAATTTCACGACGCATTAATTCGCCTGAATCCTTGCCTTATAATGATGAAAACTGCAACTCTCTATCTTGTTCCTATTAAAAAATATTTACAGTTCTTCTTTTATAAAATGAATGAGAGATAATGAACAAGAAACATCACAGAACACGTTGTTTTTAAAAGTTTTATAGCACTTCAACTTTTTGAATACAATGATCTCGAATTTCATGTTTTTTTTTTGAAAGAAACTTGTTGAAAGCATTTCTCAATGTCTTTTTCCGTTTGATAATCTAAAACAGCTTTCTAATTTCGACATTCTCTTATTATTCACAGAATTAACACATTCATCTTATATTAGTTCTTAAATACTAGAAAAATCATTTCGATTAAATAATTATTCTTAACTTACTTGTTGATATTTCATCATATTTTCGTTTATTTTGTAAAATAACAGGACTTGCTATTTCTATTGGTGCTATAATTGTATCATCAATTAATAATGAATGTTGATGCATCCATATTTCTGTTTGTGCTTGTCTTTCATAAAATTTTAATTTTATTATTGAACAATCAACATCAATTGTTCGTGCATTATGATATTTATCGTCAAATTTTTTTACTCGGACATAATTATGAATATGAAATTTTTGTTTATTTAAATATTTATTCAAAAGTAATTTTTCAAAATTTTCTCGAATTAATTTCGATTCAATTGAACGAGAATTTCGTTCAAAATCTTGACAAAGACATAAATATATAAGATCATTCTCCACTGTATATTTCGCAGTACCATCATCAAATAATATTAAATGACGTAAATGATTATTTAGTGAAGGAACTTCACATATAAAACCTAAGGAAATTTTTTTTGTTGTTGTTAATGATGATATATACATAATCCGACTTTGTCGTGGAATTGTTGTACATTGCATATTGCAAGGAATTGATAAATATAAATGGCGTTTTGGTATTGAATAAAGATAATTTAAATGTGAAATCTAATGAAACAAAAAAAATATCAAGAGAGGAATCATAAGGCCCACGAGTATACAGGGCACTTGGTTTAAAAAAGAATTTTGTATATACAATGTGTCGATGTGTGCAATCACTAATTCTAAAACTTTATCATCGATATCCTTTCTTTCAATTTCGTTTCAACGAATTCTTTAATTTTTTAAGTAAATTATACTAAAAGATACAGAATTACAAATTGTACAAAATGGATTGTTTCAATATAATACAGTGTTGACTGATTGAAGCTTCATAAAACCAATATGAATGAAAAACAACTCTTTCGATAGGTATAAAATGTTCATTTGATAACAATCTATCACCTGTACGCTTCAAAATCAGAGAGTTACAAGGCCAATTTTATATATGTTTCATTCTCTACAAAATGATAAAAAACATTCGAAAATAACTGGTACCTTTGGGGTGAAGTGGGGTTTGCACCTCTCTTTCACATAATGGTTTTTCAATAGAAAAAAAAACATTGTTAGTGGTTTTCATTGCCATAACATAATTAAAAATGACATTCTCAATCATCATCGAAAATTATATTGAGCCAAATGCGATTTAACAGAATTTTTTTCCTGAAAAAGTTCACCATGTGGCAAGACTTCAATAAAATACAGTTGTGGAGAAATATAGGTGAATTTTTCATAGAAAAAATATTTCTCTAAGATGCGTTTAATTCAACGTAATTGTTTATGCTGATTCAGAATGTGGTGTTTAATTATGTTCTGGCAATGAGAACCGCTAGAAACGCCTTTTTTTTTCTATTTAAAAATCATTATGTAAAACAGAAATTTGAACCCCATTTCATCCCTAAAGTACTAGTTATGTTTGAATATTTGTATCTTTTTTTAGAGAATCATAAGCTGCATAAGATATTTAAAATATATTTTAGAACTTTCTGATTCTGAAGCTCTCAGGTAATAGATTGTTATCAAATCGATATTTTAGAGTAATTTTTCCTTCATATTGGCTGTATAAAACTTGACTCAGTCCACACTGTATTATATTGGAATAGCCGATTTTGTTCACTTTTTAATTCTCTATTGTTTAGTATAATTTATTAAAAAGCTTGAATGATTCGTTGAGATCAAAACAAGCACAACTTTTAGAGTGTATTTTTTTCTCATAAGCATATGATAGCAGTAAAAGTGAATATCGGACGGTAAAATTTTATCGTTAGTGGTTTCAGACATCGATGCATTGAATGTGCAACAAATTTTTTTATCGAATGTCTTGTAATTCCTCTCTTTTATATAATTTTACCGTAATACGTTCTTGTTTCTCAAGATCAATAATAGGAGCAGCAAGATGAACATCCATTGTTCGATTTTCATAAACAAGTAAAAGATTTGTTTGTTTTGGCAAACTATTTGGTAATGTATTCGTTAATTGTAAATGAAAATTGAACTAGAAAAAAAGAAGAAAAGTTTTATTTTAGGTATTTTTGTATGACTAACATCCTTGCATGGTGATGTTGACATCTTTGTTTCAATAATCAAGCAATCGCTATGTGAACTTTCGGTATCATCATCATCATCAATTTGTTTTTTTGAGACGAATTTTAAATTTTCTTTATTTTGCTTTTTGTTATAAAACGAAGAGGAAACAAAAAAGAATTTATAAGATAAGATTTGTTTTTTTTTACATACCCCATTGTATTCGATTATTGAAATGGTTGGCAGCATCTTTATTGATGAACTGATGTTATCTGTGATGAAAAAGAGTGTTGATAGAATAGAAACAGAAGAAAAAAAAAGTTCGATTTGACGATAATAGATTAAAAGAAAGAAGATTCAGTATCCAATGCAATTGGACATAGAACATGGATATTTTGGCATTCTTTTCACATCTGTTCTCTTAACTTTATTTCTTCATTCTCTTTCGCTTAAGAGAAAAATGTAGACGCTCACGTTTTAAATTTTATGTCCGTTGTGTGAATGGGCGTTTTGACCTGGAGTATAGAGAGGATATATATGATTCATGATGACGACAAACGCGAAAATGCACGCAATAGAATTTAATAACAAAAATGTTTATTAAATGTGAATACATTGAAATAATATTAAATACAGTTAGAAAATTAATATTAAAAGAAGTTCTTACAAGCGTCTTTCCCATTCACGAGCCGATCGAATACATGCTTCTAAAATACAGGAAATTATACTATAGAGAAAAAAACAATAAAAACTAAACATTTTTATTTACCATCATGTAAATATGAACATTTATCACCAAGATGGCAAGTTCCTCGAACAGCATATTTACATGGAATAATACGTGTTTGAATATTATTACCTGTCATGAGCAATAGTTGTTTATTTGAATTCATAATTATTGGAATAGAAGGTGGTGAAGGTTTAGTAAAAATTGAGCCATTATCATAACATGAAACACTTTCAAAATTTTCTTCATCCCAATCATTACCGACAGATTCGTCTGTAACATCAATGTCATTCTCAATCGTTGACTAATACAAAATAAAACATAGAATCACATTCTAATAATATATTATCTATTCCAAAATATAATGTGCTCCATTGTTGTTTGTATAACTTTTGATACAAACATCATAGAGAACTGCAGCGGTTCGGCCATTCAAGAAAGAAAACTTGCGGCTATCGAAGTATATAGAAATTTGATTGGTCAACAAATGACAAATCAGCTGAATTCCAGTTGAAAATTTTCGAAAACGATACTTTGACCCTATTTCTCTTTCAATCTACGCAAGGCCGACATTCCTAGCTTGTTTTGTTCGGCAGTTGAAAGGCTTTTGATCAGACTCCCGATTTTAATGTCAACTTCTTTATTAAATAGAGATTGATTGTGGAATTTTAGAAATGTTGCAATAACAAAATTAGATCATTTTGAACCTAGAAACAAATATCACCATTCGATTCCGTAGAGTGAATTATTCCTTTACGACTGCGTTTTTGGAAGATCTCAGATTGATTAGCTGAAATCAGAGGTATCAGAAAAAGTCTCATAACTACCAAATGAAAAAAGCTAGGAACAGCGACGTTCGATATAATTTAATAGCCCGCAGGTCTTCTGTCTCAAATGGTGGAAAGCACAGGCCTCTAAGATGTTTCTTCAGAATGTTATTCAAGAACTGTGGAGCACATTATATTTTGAAATGGATAATAGTACGTACAGGATCTAGAAGATAAGATGAAACAGAAGACCATTGATTGGGAGATGAGTTCAAACAACGGCTATCCATCAACTAAAGAAATAAGATCGAATAAGATTAATTTCTGCTTACAAACATTTGATATAAATTAATTAGATTCACAGAGAGATGATTTCTAAATGTTTTATTTTCTCAATCGAACAAAACAAATTAGGTATTGAAATTTTTTTTTATTTAAATATAAGCAGAAAGCTAAACACTTCAGACAACTAACTCGTTTTCATACTTGATTGAGAGTATCACAATTTTGATTGAGTGTACCAATCAGATCTAAATAAAAACAAATAATAAATAATTAATTTCACTTTAGTTCAATTGTAACAAACTTTGAAGTTTATCAATATCTCTTGTTGCACTATGAAGTTTTCCAACTGTTGATTGGAGATTATTGAAGAGGTGATGTTTCTATGCATAGATTTCTATGATTTTAGTTTTTACGAATATATATATATATATCATTTTACCTGTAATTGAAGAGATTTATTTATAATTCGAAATCGATGTAATTGATCAATGTCTTTAATCAGATTAAATGTTTGTGCATCATCATTAAGTGAATAATATTCATTTAATGTTTTATTATGCATTTGTAATGTATAAATAGAATTATTATCGAGTTTAATACCAAAATGATTACTAATTAAATGTCGAAGTTTTGAAGTTGATATTATAGGATCAGTTAATGTAAATCGTTGACGCCGTGCGCCAAATTCGACAATGATCCGTTTTGCTTCGTTCTGAATGAAGAAACAATAATAACAAAGGAGAAAAAAGAAACACAATTACCATAATATTAATCTAAAATAACAAAAATGTTCTAAATAAGAAATATTTGAGATCTAATAGATAAAAATATTCTATTTATTGAGTCAACATATGAATATATAAAGTTTGTATCACTTTGATATTATTGAAAAGCGCTTCACTCTACTATCTCTAAATGTAGGTAAGATAGTCCCGCTCATGCCTAGTAATCCTTATTTTCGTATGACTTCTGATAGAATGAGAATATTTATTAACTTAACACAAGTATCTCTAATAATCTTATTTAAGAAAGAAAGTGATTTAGAGTTACGAGAATCAAAGTAAAGGAATAATAAAAAAAGAAAATCTTTTATTTATTTCATATTGATTAAAACATACAATTAATAACAACAAAGAAGAAACCTATATTGGAAAAATAATCTAAAATTCATTTCTATAAATTTCATAAAACTATTAATCGAAATAAGTCTAGACACAAACTTTATTATATATATATATTCATTGAATGATTTGAAATACAACAAAAGCTACAAGACACATCTCTATATATAAAATAAGAGTTGACATTTATTATTTCAGGAATTTTTAAAACTTTGTTTCAAGTTATTGATGTTGAGATGATGACATAACTTTATTAATATCTACAGTTAAACTCCATTGGGTCTAGTTCGAAAGAATTTTTCTGAATATTAACTTCCGATTCAAATTAAGTTGTTAATCAGTATAGTTTATATCTAATCAAACATTCAGAAATATAATAAACAAAAGTAAATATAAAACATTTTTAGAAGAATTTTATCAAATATTTACAGTAACAATCACTAAAAGTTTATTGAAATAATTTTATCTGTAACGAGTGAAAATTCTAAATAGGGAATCTTTCCAACTTAAATATTGCTTTTTAGTTCAGACTCTATCAATAAGGTAGACCGCAACGAAGTATTCGAAATCCTCAAAAGGATAAGGATTTCTAGGTCTTCGTTACAGAATCACAGCAGTTTTACTTAAATTTTAGCCTATGTCACACTCTTTACAGAAACAAATCAAATGATTATATTTAGACCTACTTGTAACTAAAATCTCCTGAAAATTTCAACTCAAAGGAATGTTCTCTGCACGACTTGTTGAGTTTCCAAAAATCACTCATATGCCACCAAGGATTCGAGAATCTCATGGAAATATTGTCATTCGAGTTTTCTGCAGAAACGAAAATTTCAGTAAAACGACTATAACTCTATGAAAGACCTAGAATTCCTTATTTGTTCAGAGTTTTCAAAGACTCTTCGGAATCTACCTTATGCACAGAGCCCTCACTCAACAAAGATTTCAAGTTGACACGATTCTCTTGTTATAATGACTGTACATGCTGATTCCATACGCATCGCTATCAATTTCTCGAAAGCAACAATATTTTGACAACCGTTGGAAATAAAACGAAGTATTATATTCTAAATTATATATAATTAAAAAAAAACAACCCAACGTTTTAAGGAATATTTTGAGAATCTTCGACAAGGGAAGTTGGCAATAGTCATGATTCAATATTCAGTTAAACACGCTCATTTTTTCTATACTAAAATAAATTAAAATAAACATATAACAATAGTAAAGAAAAGTTTTTTTTATTCGCGTTTAAAAAGAAGAAAATTTGGTTTTTCGCTTTTATCAACGTAGACAGTTCAATTAAAAGTAGAGAAAAAAGCTATCGCTAATAGTCACGTCATATACTAGTGAATAAAAACAGTACGAGCCATACCCCAAACGTAGAAAGCACAGCTGTATGCACAATAGACATTAAAAAAAAAGAAGAGAAAATAAAAACAAAAGATATGTGCCAAATCGAAGTAAACAAGCACAAATGATGGATATATAATTAATAACCTGCAAGATAAGGCGATACAGTAAGAGAATTAAATAATAAAAAGGCCGCTAAACAACATGAATAAATCGACATTGACTTCCTAAATAAATTTCAAGCATAATGATTAAATTTATTTTCAATATTTTACCTCGTCTAAAATAATAGAAAAAAAATTTGTAATATGAATTAATTATGTCTTTTTCTTTCAATAAACTTACTTGCAATTGCCACCAGCAGCATATTTACATGGAACTACAATAAAAGAAAATAAATATATATTCAAAATTATATAAATATATATATAAACATACTGTTCTTTTTCTTTTCTGGTGGTAATGGTGCTTTATTTGGATTAATCGGTTTTTTCAAATGCGGTCTATCACCAAATTGCTCTTTATTATAATTTGTTTGATATTTGACTTTATTACTGTTCCAATGAGAACGTGGACGAGAACGATAGGATTGATTACGCCATTCAAGTTTACTATTGTCATTGATTGTTATTGGATTTGGTTCATTTATAATTGTTGCATCTTCACGGCATTCAAAATAAATACTTTCAAATCCATTATCACTATGTGCTGATTCAAATATTGATGCACTTCCAGTATCACGATCAATGCCTTCATCAGTACTTTGAGAATCTTGCGAAGATGTACGATTCGTCATTGATAAAGGCTTAAAACCAGGTGGAACAGTTAGATCTTCATTAGGTTGATGTACAAGATTTTTAGCAAATGAATTATTTGATGTTTCAATCATTGATTTATGTGAATCAATTGTTTGATTGTCTTCATCAATAAGTGTCTAGAATCAATTAAAAACGAACAATATAAAGGAATAAGTAGGAGCCGAAAGTTTCTAGACAAAATATTGGACTATTTTTCGTGTATTCAAATACATTGGAAAGAGGTAAGACGTTGTGTATTAGAATTAGAATATCATGTTCTTGCAAAATATATGCTTAGAACTTGTCTATGACCTTTGAAAAGAATAAAAAAATCTCATCGAATATATTGAAAGATACAGAAAATAATATAGCTGTCGCACGAAAAATTATTAATTTTTCGAGTTTCACTTTTTCAGTCAAGAGGAAAACAGTGGACCTGAAGTACAAAAGTACGTCAAATTATACTACTTGAAGTAGCTCAAGCAACTTCAAGTCCAAAAGTCCGCTGTTTCCCCCTTGTTTTCAGTGCAAAATGACCTTGCGTCATTTTGTAGAGTAAACTCTTTACAGAACTTATTTGGTCTGTATTTCTCTTTAGAACATTTTTTTTTCAGTCCTGTCAATCTTTAGTTATAGTTCAATAGTCAGAAGACATAGAAAAACGCTAAGCATATTTTTGGAGAGAGCACAAAGTCCTTATTCTAATACACGAAAAAAAAAACTAGTATAGAAACTTTCGACCCATCCCTTAGTTTCAATCACGAAAATTTGTATCTTAAAATTTACTTTCATAAGATTTTTATAATTTGTTTGAATAGAATTGATTAGAACTGTAAAGAAAATCAAATCGTTTAAATAAATCATTTTAAAAATAAATTACGAACGAGCAATCTCTGTTATTTCCATTGATACTCTATTCAGTCGTTGTTTCAATGAAGTCTAGAAAAGCGAACATTGAATTATATATATTTTTTTTTTGAAATATTTCTATTACAATTTCATTTGTCTCACTATTGATTGATGAAGCATATAAATCATTTTGATTGAATGAATAAAATTGTTCTATGGCTCGATTATTTTTTAATTCGATTTTAAAACGTTGATCATTATTTATTTGAGAAAAATCAATATTTGTCATAGAATCAATTCGTTTATTACATAAGAAAATTTCATATTTTTTAAAATTAATTACATGTTGAAATGTTTGAGAAAATAATTCTAATAATTCATTTATAGTAAACTGAATTTTATTTAATTTAATACGTTGTCGTTGTTGACCAAATTCGACAATAATTATTGGCAAATCCTATTTTAAAATCAAACCTACATTAAAAGAGCAATAATTATTTTGTTTATCTCACCATATCCATCGTTCTCATCTAAAATATATATTCATACAGACATTCGAAGTGAACTTTTCGTTCAAAGAAAGGTCTTGTCTTTACTTTTCGTTATGGTAGCAATGATTTATGAATTATAGCCAATCAATATTTGGCGATATACAATGTATATTAGAAAATAACAAAAAAAGAAATATAATAATAAATGCATGAACCGCGAGCAATTACAACGATTTATATAACAGATGCTTATCGCCAAAGAAAAAAAAATCTATATTATTTCTGTCAATTTCTTCTTTTTGACATATATACAGAGGTCGCCATTGGCATTGATTTATATAGACGTGATGATCGTTGAAAATTTGATTGTGATTTATCTCCTAACATTGTTGTTGCTGCTGATGATGATGATGAGGACGATGATGTTATTGCAAGAAGACTTTTAAGCATTGATCTTTCAAATTCAAGACGTTTAGAATCATTTGAAGGCACATTTAATGCATCAAATTGTCTTGATCGATGTTCATAAACTAGACGAAGTAAAAGTAAACGGTGATCACCTTGGGATACATTTGATTGATTAAGTAAATTTTCAATTTGTTGAGATAATGTTAATTCAGTTTTCTAAGAATTCCAAAAAATCAAATAACAAAAAACAAAATAAATCGATTGAACTTACATTTGATTTTCGTCGAAAACTTGCTCGTAATTTATCGAATAGATGCATATACGCAGATGTGACAAAAATATATAATGACTGACGAAAGATGAAGAATAGAAAAAGAAATGTTAGACAATTGTTTATTGTTGTTATTGTCAACCGATAGCATATGTATAACTATATGTCACCCATCTCCCTAGGCTATTTGATGAGAATTGAAATAGAATTTTTAGTCTTAATTTTATCTAATCGGAAAATCAAGCAAGATCAGTTGTTAATGAAAAGAATTATTCGTTAGAATGATAATATATATTTAAATTTTATCACAGATTTGATAATATAAAATTCATTGATATTATCTGATAAACGTCTTTTGCGGTCAAGATAAATAAGTCGATTTCTTTATAAATATATTTGATGCAAATCAATGACGGAACAAAACTTCATCCAATTTTTTATAGTGATCTATTAGACTCAATTATCACTCTGTTAATATATGTTTCATTGAAAACAAAAGATGCTCATCAATCCAATAATGTTTCATTTCTTTTAAAATCAAAATCTAGTTAAATTCATTTTAAAAAATTTTTATCCATAGTATTTAAAATTCAACAAAAAAAAATATTATAAGTTTATCTGTCTGATTAAACGAAAACCAAAATCTAAATAAAATGATGATTAACGTCGTTGTATAGTAGTCGTTGATATTGTTTGGTCAGATAATGTTCGATCATCAATAGCATCATGAAGTTCACCATATTTCGATATAACATGATTTGGATTAAAAACTTCTCTCATAGTTTCAATTTTTGGTTGTTTTATACCAAGAATAAATCCTAATATAGCAAGTATCGATACATTAAATAATGCAATTATAGTTAATATATATGCCCATCGTATTTGACAAGTATCAAGTTGAAAATCATTAGCATTAGAACCACATATCGTACGAATTGTATCATTATCAAAACCGAATGGATAAACAATCAGTGCAATAAGTAAACAGATCGCACATATAATTTGTATTAATGCACCAATAAAATAAACAATTCGTGGACGTAAAAATAAGAATAATATAAACAATAGAAGACATAAGAGAATAAGTAAAGCAGAGAAACCAACAAAAAATGTAGCAACAGCAAATGGTACATTAAGAATTGTTCCAAAATTTGTCCATGTTCCTTGACAATCAAATTCATAATCACTTATTGTACTTACACAATATGAATATAAACCAAAATGACCAGCACGTGGACTTAATAATGTATCACCAATCCATTGTGGTTGTACAAATATAAATATATTAAGTATAGCAAAACAAGCTGTAAGAAATATCCAAATAAAACCAATAATTCTTGATATCCATTCGAATGATAAAATTTGTTTTGGTTGTGTAGTCATCATCATGTACAGTAGAAATAATCAATGTGTATGATCTGTTTTTTTTCTTCTTTTCTTTGTTTTACCAACTAGTCAAAATGCAATTTGCCATTACTAATCCTTTGTTCTTCGTTTTGATTGATTGTCCTTCGTATCTCAATTTGCACGTGTATAGAGAATCTGTATTTAAAGTTCGTCGTTTAACAAATAAGAACAAACGAAAATGAGAATAGCATAAATTTTATTCTTTTTCTTTCTTTTTTTATTTGTTGTTTAGTAAGATAATGACATTTTTAGAAATTCTTGAGCCGAAAAGTTCAGGGATTTTTTATTTAAATATTGGATTTAGAAAATAGAATGTAAGAGAAAGTTACAATAGATTCATACTATTTGTTTGTTGATGATGACAAAACAAGTGTAAGATGTTGATGAACATACTCTATTAAAATTGTTTTGTCTCAGCTATGTAATTATACCATAGGCTTAGATGTCCATAAGAAAAAAAAGAATGTAACCGAACGTTACAATCTATCCGATAAAGATCAATAATAAGGATAATTGACTGTGATAGGAGTATTGTTCAATCAAGTTGTATTATGCTTTCGCATGTGATTCTAATGTTAAACTGATGTTTAGCAGAAAAAATAACAGTGAATAGTTTGACAAAATCATCTAATTTGTATGGGTTAATTTAACGTACGATGTTGATCAGGTATGCAAGAAACAATAGAGCAATCTTTTCAGCGTTGCATGATCACTGTGAATAGCACTAATTTTTTTGTCAAGATCGTGTGAATATTAAAAATGTAATTATAATATTTCTCCAAAAGAATGAATTCAAGTCTTCTTGTTCTTTTTTGCAGTATGTGGCCTAAAGTAAAATCATTCTATTTAAGGAAATCCTTTTCCCGAGATTTGTAAGAATGGCTGATCAAAAATATTTGAAACTTTCAGGATAGATAGATCTCGATAAGTAGAGCCAATATTGTCATAGACCTCAAGTTTCGAAACACTTCCTTCTAAGAAATATCTGGGTTTCAAAGGCTAAAAATCATCCTGCTTTCCTAGTCGCAATGCATCCGATAGAGCTGGAATTTTTTAAATAGATACTCGATACTGTTTGAGCTGCTTAGTTTTTTTGTTTCTTTTTTATTTCCTTCCATTCGAATAGAAAGTATGTATCCCAAACAGTGTTCAATACCTGTAAAAATAGTTTCAGCTCGATCGAACATAGCATCTGGAAGAAACGGGAAAAACATTTCTCACTATTATGACCCCAGTATCTCATAGAAGACAACTTTTGCTCTACTCGACAAAAGTTGTCTGCTATGAAAATTTCAAGTATATCTGATGAGCTATTCTCCAGAAAGAAACCGGGAGTACCTGTAAGAAAAGTATTCTGTGAAATCATTATAACAGAAGTCTCTTTATGAATGCTGATCTGTAAACAATTTGTAAAACCTACTGTACAACAAGACAATTAGTACTAATAGTACTATATATAAAACGAGACATTCTCAAAAAAGTGTCTTTGCCACTGAGTCGTTCGTATTTCGATCGAATCGTATTATTCTATTGCTGGATAATCGGATGGCTGATTATCATTCGGTAAAACATAGATACAACTGGAAAAGGTAAAGCTACAATATGATAGTTGAAGGACTTTTTTATGGTCATTTTCTCTGCAATATTGAAGTGAAAGTACGACGGTACGATACATTTACATTATTATTGTGTAGAAAAAAATATCATAGCTCAATATCGAAGTTGATCTTTTTTTAATGGTTTTTCTTTCAAAGAAAACTCACGTGCCAATAACATTTTGGAGAAAGATATGTACAGATCTGATATTTAAGAGAGAATTCGTGACAGCAACGAGTATAAGAGGCATCGAATAAAGAAAATTTTTTTTATTTTTTTTTGCTCATTCAACACTTCAATGTCTGAAACCACCAACTCCAAAATTTTAGCTTCTACTATCCTTCCTTTGAAAAGCTAGTCAAGACCGACTTTTAGCACTATCGTGACTTTAATAGAAAAAAAAACAAAAAAATGCTCTAATAAAATGATGTCATATTGCGTCTTAACAGATCACTGAAATTTTTCATGTTATATACCAGAAGATAGAGAATTAAAAACTGAACAAAATATGCTATTTCGATATAATATAGCATCTAGTAACTCAAGTTTTATAAAGCTAACATTAGTCAAATCGCGTCTTTTTCTCAAGTCTAAAACGTTCACTTTGACTCAATGAATCTAATACTGTGTTTCAGAATTAGAGAGTTCCAAGGTGAATTTTATATATGCTATGCAACTTTTAATTCTCTTCAAATGGTAAAAAAGTACTCGAAAAAAAATGGTGCGTTCACGTCAAAATCGGGCTCTTATTTTCCTAATTTCTTGTGATTTCTGATGATTTTGCCATAAAAAAGAACATTTTTAGCTATTTTCATTGTTGTAACACAATTGTAAAGCAAAATAGATACGATATTCAGAATCAACGTTAAAAACTGGATGGAATAATATACATTTTATTGAAATGTATTTCCTGTCCAAAACTCACCTGTGGAGGACCAGGGAGAAAAATGTTTTCAAAACATCGCTGTGGAGAACCACAGATCACTTTGGGCCAGAAAAAAATTCAATAAAATGTATGTCAATCAGTGCAGTTTTTAACGCTGATTCTGAATATCGTATCTATTTTGCTTTACAATTGTGTTACGACAATGAAAATAGCTAAAAATGTTTTTTTTTTTATTGCAAAATCATCAGAAATCACAAGAAATTAGGAAAATGAGAGCCCGATTTTGATGTGAACGCACCATTTTTTTTCGAATACTTTTTTACCATTTTGAAGAGAATTAAAAGTTGCATAGCATATATAAAATTCACCTTGGAACTCTCTAATTCTGAAACACAGTATTAGATTCATTGAGTCAAAGTGAACGTTTTAGACTTGAGAAAAAGACGTGATTTGACTAATGTTAGCTTTATAAAACTTGAGTTACTAGATGCTATATTATATCGAAATAGCATATTTTGTTCAGTTTTTAATTCTCTATCTTCTGGTATATAACATGAAAAATTTCAGTGATCTGTTAAGACGCAA